GAAGCAGCTCCACATGACTGCAGCTTTCCCCGGATACCACAGCTGATTGCGTGGTGAGCCAAAGTTAGCTCCTAAACATTTTAGCTTTTCAGTTTTTAAATTGAGGTTTAAATATTCTTCCTTTGCGAAATCCTTAAAGAAATGGTGGGAGTTAAGGGAATGATTTCAGTAATCTGGCTTCACTTATTGAAAATGAACTACTTACAGGCCCTGTGCTGTGGCATACTAGCCTAAGCCTCTGCCTATGGCACTGGCAGAACATACGGCCGCTGGCCCAAGTCCCAGCTGCCCCACTTCCCACCCAACGCCCTGCTGTGGCCTGGGAAAGCAGCAAAGGATGGCACAAGTCCTTGGGCCTTTGCACTCACATAGAAGACCCAGAAAAAGCTTCTGGCTCCTAGCTTCAGACTGTCTCAGCTCTGGCCTGTGTGGTCATTTGGGGGGTGAACCAGTGGATAGAAGATCTCTGTCTCTCCTTGCTGTAAATCTTCCTTCCAAATAAAAATAAATCTTAATGAACTATTTTAAACACATGATTCAGGCCAGGGTCGAGACTGCTCCCTGCACTTCCAGGCCTGCCAGTGTGCTCCCATTACCAGCACAGCTTTCTAGTCTCCATTAGCTCAGGGCACCTCACATGACCTCAATAACATCAGCGCAGTTTTGTGTTTCATGGAGTCATGTTTCAGAATTAATTTTAAGCTCATGAATTAGCTAGAAAACACTGCCAAAATCCTTCAAAATCTCTTATTTACTTATTTTATTTTCACTTTATTTGAAAAGCACAGGAACAGCAACTAGAGAGAAACATGGGGAGATTTTCCATCCACTGAATCACTCGGCCCCCAAAGCTCGTGTTGAGCCAGGTGCAAGCCAGGAGCCTAGAACTCAATCGGAAAGCTTCATTACCCTGATGGCAAGCACCCAAAGGCTGGAGCCATCACCTGTCCTCTCACAGGGTGTGCAACTGCAGAAGGCTTCCACAGCAAGGGGATCCGAGAAGCAAACTCGGGCATCCAAGCATCTTCTTAACCCACGCATCTGACACCTTACCCAGAATACTAACAAGAGCGCACATCACTGCCTGAAGTCACCAGTGTGTGACTATCAGGATAGTACCTGAGCTAGTCAACGCGAGAACAGGTTCCCATACTGGCTTACGATGGTTAAATCCACAAACATCATCATACAGACATCCAACTTGTTTCCTAGGTTCTGGAAGGTATATCCTAAACTGTTATAAAATGTAGATACAATGTTCCATCTGATATAAACTTACTTATTTCAGGGACTTCATCAGAGTTTAGGCGGCTTGTTCTAGAAGGATAGCCACCAGTCACAATTTCTATAAGGTAATGAAATCTTAAAATTCAGGTGAGCTGTAACCCAAAATACATACTAGATTTCAAGGACTTGGTATGTACGAAAAAATGTGAAGTTTCTCCTCAATAACGTTTGCATTGTCTCTGTATTAAACTGATAGTATTCTGTAAATACAGGATTAAATAGATTAATTTAACTGGTATATATTGCCTTTAACCGTGCTAGTACAGATTGTCCAAAAAGAAAAAAATAAGATCCACTGAGTAAGAAATATTTCCTGAGAATCAAAAGTTCTGAATCTACATTCACAGTAAAAATGATATAATTACAAGATTTATGATAAGTGTTCAAAAAAACCCACTAGAACCAAATCTACAGGAAGCAATCTCTACTGACCATGGCAAAGTATCCTGAAATATGCTGAATGTCCCACCATGACCACCCAGATATGCAAACAGGCACCTAAGTTAGGAAATGATGTGGGCTAAATACAAACACACATAGAAAGTTTGTAGCCATGTTTTGCATTACTTACAACCACAGACTGGATGCCAACATGTAGAACTATCTTAATGGTACCTATCATTATTTGCTTTTTATAAAATACCTGGGTTAACATAAAATTTCTATGCACTTTTCTATTAGCAGAGACCAAAGTACTTTAAAAATTATATATATATATAATTTATTTGAAACGCTTATCAAAAAATCAGTTATTCATCAAATTTTGGTTTTTACACGTCAGGAACAAACTGATCAATGTGTTAACACTGAGAACGGCCATCTTGGTACACGTGAATCACACAGCACCAAATATTTTCTATTAAAATATAAATCTACTGCTTGCATTAAAGTTCTCCTTAACATTAGCCCACTTATAAAGTCATATGCTATCCCTCTAATTACTTTGCTAATGGTACTGCTCAAGGAATGCTGAAATCTCCCCAAGTGTAAATTCCCTCATGCCATTTACTCCCACGGTCCATCTCTTCAAATTCCTCTCCAACATGCTGTTAGCGACAGTAAACAGAAGCAAAAACATGAAAACAAAGGAACAAAGCACTCCTCCCTACCAAAAGGCTGAAATCCACGGGCAAAATGAGCTTCTAAAGCTAAGCATTTGTTTTTCTTTGCTTATACATCTGATGTCTTTAAAGGAAATCATTGCTCTCCCAATCTAGCGGTACAATCCTTCATTTGTGTTTGGTAAACAATTTACCTTCTTTCTCTGTCTTCCTTCTCCCTCTCTCAACTCCAGCTCTCATGCTCTAAATCTAAGCCACCTTGCTTGCACATTTTACTGTGCTTTTCAATGGTGGTGCAGTAACACTTTTCTCTCTACCTCGTGTCTGTGATGTAAGAGCAGCTCAGAGAACAGCTGTTGTGCTAGAGAATGTGCAAGTTCGAGTCATAAAGCACTGAAATCATGCTAACCGGTGTCTGGGACGGGCAGTCTTCATTGATCATCATCAATGACCACAGTATCACAGACCAAGAATTGCACTTGTTAACAGATCTTGACAGAGGTCAGTGCCAGAACTGACAATCATAACACGTTAGAAATAGAATGAGACAGTTAGGAAGGCATTGGTGGGAGCTGAGTGTTATGATTCCAGGCTTGGCTCCACCCAATGCCAGCAGTATGACCTTAGGCAAACGATGTGTTTGCCTCCATTTCTGCATCTATAAAATGGAAGTGCTAAAATCTCTATCACCCATTTAAGCACTAAATTAGGACTAACATGAAAAACTACAACCATCAAATCATACCCTGGATAGTAATGCTCAAAATCTCCAAATTACAAGATAATAAACTTCCAAGATGCTGTGGCTGCTCACAGCCACAGAAACACTTTCACCTCCGAAGTCAACAGGAAGCGTCAGCAGAGTCACAGGAAGCTGCCACTCAAAGGAAAAGCCACTGTAGGTCATTTCTGCAAATGTGGAACTGATTGTGCATGGAGGCTGATGAAAGCTGTTTTCCCTCTTCTTCACTCTAAGTGAACCATTTCCCCAACTGCACAGGAGGATCAGAGAAAGACCATCTGTCCGTTCTCAGTTAAAACTGAAGCAGGGGGCCCGGCGCGGTGGCGCAAGTGGTTAAAGGTCCTCGCCTTGCACGCCCGGGATCCCATATGGGCGCCGGTTCTAGTCCCGGCAGCCCCGCTTCCCTTCCAGCTCCCTGCCTGTGGCCTAGGAACGCAGTCTAGGACAGCCCAAAGCTTTGGGACCCTGCACCCGCGTGGGAGACCTGGAAGAGGCTCCTGGCTTCGGATTGGCATAGTATCGGCCCGTTGCGCTCACTTGGGGAGTGAATCATCGGACGGAAGATCTTCCTCTCTGTCTCTCCTCTCTGTATATCCGCCTTTCCAATAAAAAAATAATAAAAATAAATCTTTAAAAAAAAAATTTAAAAAAAAAAACTGAAGCAGGGCCCAACACCCAGAGCACATCCTTCACTCACAATGGCAGTACTGCCTTCCCCATTTTTCCTGAGCAGCAAAACTCATTTTCCAGTGAATCACATTTAATCTGATTATGCTGCAATGCAGCATAAGTTCCTAGAGAAAAGCACAAGGAGGATTCCTGATGAGACTGCTTCCGAAGGCGTGTAGCATTTTCACATAAACCAAACACAAAGATCTGTGCCATGACATGACATGGAGGTAGCTGGAATTCTTTCCCTTATCACTGCCAAGCAGGACAATACCAACTGGGGCTCACTCCTGGGGAAGAATGACCAAGGGTGTCCATCTGCTTGCATGTGGCTCTCTAACTGGGCATCTTCCTGGCCCTGCAGAAGCCAGTGGTGGGGGTGCCCGGCCCTGCTAAGGGATGTGGGCAGTCCCTTCCCCTTGGGTATGGCAGCTGGCTCGCATGGAACACACCACCAAAGGCCATGCTCAGATCTCAAGCTGTCACCTGGTACCTCGGCTGCATCTATCAGCAGATGGTGGGCTGGATTCAGAGCATTCGCCAAGTGGGAAGCTCCAAGTTCCCCCTGCCTTCCTGGTCGTCTCTGCCCTTTATCATCCGCACATTCAGTTCCTTCAGAAACCACCTGGCAAGGCAGCCGTGCCGGACATCACGTTCGCTGAGACCTCCGAACCCTGTCATCTCACAGGTCCCCAACCAGGCCCTCCTAAGACAGCAGCAGCATAGAGAAAACGCTCACAAATGGACCAGGATATGCCAGCGAAGACTGATGGCAGAGCCCCCAGCAACTATCTGGCTTGGCAATCACCAAGCATCACCCGGAGTTTTGTTCACTCCCTGGGGGTGGACACTTGTTCTGCTGGGGGAGCACCCACTGCTCAGGTGTTTCCTGGAACAGAACCACGTGAAGTAATACCACACTGCAGTCACTGAAGATGCAGAAACGAGACTCAGTAATCCATGAACGCGTGTGGTATAATCAGAGCTGCGACGCAAGGAGAAGCTCTCAGCTCCAAGGTGATATGTTACTGTAAACTAAGATGACCTCAACTGCAATCTCCAAGTTAGAAAAATAAAAGGCACCTGCTCTTAAAATATCACCTACCTACACATTTCCATTGCATTTGAAAAACAAGATGAAATATGCAATCTAAATACTGATATAAAAATGTGGTCATTTTAATATATCCACTTTTAATGTAGCTTTAAGAGCAATAACAGAATAAAACCAAATGACTTACCTCCCATCTCGATCCCAGTCATACACCTCCACCTTGATTGTTCTGTCCAAGGGAAAAACACGCAGAGTTACTGATTAAGATGAAAATATGAGAACTGAAACAAATTACTTGTTAGACTTTCTAAACGTTTGCAAAGTGATCTGAAACTGATTTTGCTAATTTTATTCCTGTAATTTGTACCTGAAACAGGTTTGTAACACCTACTTTGATCTGAGAAAGGGCACAGGGAAAGTATACAAAGGAAACTGGCACACCGTCTACACCGCAGGAATCCCTGCCTTGGAAAAGTATTTCTCAAACTCAGTGGCGAGCAGCCTCACTCGGACGTCTCACTTCCCCGGGTTCCTAGCTCAATGGGACCGTGTTGGGCCTGAGAATCTGAATTTATATCTACTGCCACATCACACTGATGCTACTACATGGAAAACATGTGATGAGAACAAACAAGTAATTAATGAATGAAATTAGTCAAGCAGAATGATGAGCCTCAAAGCTGCCTTCACTATACCCTGACAACCATTCTTTGAATCGCTATTTCCTTGCAGTTTCTCCGTAAGTAACAAGATGACCACAACAACACGGGGTGGGCTTTGACGTTTCTCTCAGGACGGTCAGGATTTTCTACTGTAACTCTACAGTTGAATATAAAGGAGTTGAAAAGTGCAGGTTCGTTGTGGAAGAAGCTCCATGGCAGGACCTCCCGAACTCCTTGTCCCGCCCCCACAGCTCTCTGCTCGCGGTAATGGCTCGTTTCTTCACCAGGCAGCCAGGCTGAGAGCAGCTACATCAAGCACACTGCAGAGTCGCCCAGAGCTGGGCACGGTCCAGCCACATCCTGGTACCCCCTGGGTACACCCCTGGGCGTGTGCGTGTTCTGTTCTCACAACACTGGACCACAAGAAAGCCTTCTGAGAAACAACACCCACACTAATTCTCTGTCTAGTCTTACCACTCGGCACAATTAGTTTTTCCAACTAGAAAAATCATCATTTTTCCCCAAATCATGGATCTTAAAAACATTACTAAAAAATTTCTAAACATACAATCCATGCTTTTATAAGTAAACATTTACACAGGTTTAAAAAAAACCACTTTCATGTTTCCTTGAAATCTTAGATGGTTAGAAGCACAAAGCACAGAGCCAGCGGCCACGCGCGTCACCTGTCATAGTCGCCGTTGCACAGCGCTCTGACGGAGATCTTGAAGGCCTGCCACACGGGGTTCAGCGTGTTCTTCACCACTTCTGTTTTATGACAAATTGTAAAACTGCAAAACAAAGTTTCCCATTATGTTTATGCTTCAACTATTATATTTTCTTTTGCCATTCCATCCTTCCCTTTTGTGCAAAGAAATGTATGTAGCAAGCCATCCACCGCCACCATTCCACTTAGGAAGGCGTAAATTCAAAACTTTGAAGAAAAAAGAAAACTTGCTAATAGCTTAAGCAGAAAGCTTAGCCAGTGGGGAAAAAATGGTTTCTTTTTATTTTTTAAAAGTACTTGAAAGGCAAAGAGAGAAAGAGAGAGGAAGAGGGAGAAGGAGGGATGGAGAAAAATGGAGAGAGCTCTTTCATTAGCAGGATTGCTCAAATGGCTGCAGTGGCCAGGACTGGGTCAGGCCGAGGTCAGGAGTCTCCTCCAGGTTTCCCACAGTGGTAGTGGCCCAAGAACTTGGGGTTGTCCTTTTCAGCTTTCCCAGGCACATTTGCAGGGAGCTGGATCGAAAGTGGGGCAGCAGGGACTCAAACCAGTGCCCGTGTGAGATGCGGTCACGGCCTGTCTCAACCTGAGGCACCAGTGCTAACATCTTCATTTGTTCTTATTTAAGCCTAACTGCAGCCTGTGCTCCTGTAAGATGGCAGAGGTAACAGCAAGGCTGTACACCAAAGAGCCCGGGGAAGGCAACCCCTCTATGAAACACGAGAGGAAGGGGAGAAAGCCTGGAGACACGTGCTTTTCCTGGATGCCAAACAGCACGGGAGAGCAAGAGCCGAGCAGGAGCAGAGGAGAAACCAACCGAAACACCCACACACTCAATGGTCTGTTAGCTCCTGGTTACGTCAGAATTTTGGTTCCACTGCTAGGCATGTCCACAGTCACCAAGAACTGTGACAGCTGAATTTCTCCTGAGAAGGTGACACATCTTCCCAGGGAAGTGTCCTGAGCCAGGTCTCAGTGAATCACTGTCAAGCCCGGCGGGAGAATGCTGGCAAGCCTCACTGGGATGCAGGCAGCTGCCGCGGGGGCAGGTGACAGGGGACCGGTGAGCTCCCTGCTACTCAGGGACACTGCTGTAGACACACTGTGTGTAGTACAGACAGCACAAGGAAAACGCCTTTGTTTAAGCACCTATATGAGTATTTAGCAAAGTCATCCATCGAAAACAGCTCACCCATATGACAATCCTTACCTAAATAAGAAGCCAAGTTGAGAGGTTTGGAAAAAGAAAATATGGATTTACAATCACTTATTAACGTTTAATAAGCACAAGTTAATGCTCCCAGCACAAGTTCAGTTTTACTTTTCTTACAAAATTAACCTCAAATATAGAAACGGGGAGTTTTTGAAATAGCCAAGTTCCGGCTGGCGCTGCGGCGCAGCAGAGGTTACACTGCAGCTGTAATGCTGCCATCCCGTGTCTGAGTGCCAATCTGAGGCCAGACTGCTCACGCAGAGGAAGGCAGCCAGGCCTCTGCCACGCGCGTACAAGGCAGAGCCAGAGCTCCAGGCTGCCGCCTCTGGGGAGTGCACCGGAGGATGCAAGGTTTCTTTCTGCCCTCTCCCTTTCCTCATCTTTTTTTTTTCCTTCATTGTTTTGAAAAAGATTTGTTATTTTTCACAGAGTTACAAAGAGAAAGTAAGACAGAGGAAAAGTGGTTGGGGGGGTCTCCCAAGCACTGGTCCACTCCCCAGATGGTCACAGTGGCCAATGCTGTCGGGGTGAAGCCATCACATTCATGTGGCTCTCCCACGCTGAGTGCCAAGAACCCACGCACTGGTACTTGAGAAACTGAGCCTTTCTGTAGCTTTTCTCTACCTTCGAACGGCAAGTATGTTCTCTTCACATACATGTGTATGCGTGTGTGTAAAATTAGTGTTCAGATGCCAATTATGAGCTTAAATGTCCAGCACCAAAACAGATCATATCCAATATTTTGATAGCACAACAAAAATACCCAACAGTTACTAGTAGTTATAGCAACTGAAACCCCATCATCAACACCATCCCAAACATCCCAGTATATTCACTTTAAGTAGAAAACCTCCTATTTTCACATAATATTCTACACATGTGCTTGGTAACAACATAATTTGATTTATATATCAGTTTAATAGTAGTGATAAATTTTTCCACACTCTTTCACTTTTAACCTCCAAATAACATTTTCTCTTTACCGAATATTGGATTATGCATTAAGGCAGACAAAGCAAAGCAAACACGAGGTAGTGCCCATAGCTAATGCTCGCCTTCTTACAGCTCGGAAAAAATGAACAAATACTACTTAATCCTCTTGCTGACACTGGACATACTGATTGCTTCATTTTACATACGAGCAGACTGACTCTCAGAACAAAGGTCAAAGACTCGGGCTTGGTCTAAACACAGGATCATGGATTAAACCTTGTTCACAGGACCTACTACCACCAATACTGATACACTGCTTTCGGATTCACAGAGACAGCAGGCACGCACACAGTAAACCGCAATGCTCTATGGCCCCAGGAATCTCAAGCCCCAGGGAAACCAAGCTAATACCAAAGACATCCAACTCACCTACATTGTGATGAAATGGTACTAAGTTTTAGCTTCAGTGTGTCACAGGAGGAAAAAAAAGTATAGCATAAACACACTCCACAATCCATTTCCTTGTATAAGAAACACTTACAATGAAAGACCTGTTTCAGCACTTCAGTTTGTTCAAAGTTCTTCCATAGAATAAATGTAAGTCCATAATTTTATGAAAAGTGAAAGTGTTTCTATAGAACTGAGAATCATTCATTGTAAGCATCAAACACAAAATGCTTATAAAGTTACATATCATAATTGAGATGCATAAGTCACATTTGTGAAATACGTAAACACTTTAACAGTTTAATGAGTTTAAGAAAAAAATTATATACAAATATCATCAGAACGAAAGCTAACCTACCTGCCATCTTCATTACTTCGGTAAAAAACAAGGAACGGATCCGATTTCCCAAAGAAGTCCTTCTTGTCCAATTTGTTGGCACAGAATTGCATCAGCACAGCATCCTAAAACAAAAGGAACAAGAGCTCAACACTGAAGCTGTAAATAAACCAGAAACCAGAGATCTCAAGGAAGAACTGACAAGAGCCGATGCCCTTTTTAATGCAAGTCTCCAAGAGTGAGAGAGTTCCCACAATATCAAATTGTTTTTGAAAGGATTGAGCAAGCTTCAACATTTTACTGTAAATTTTTGTTCTAGTCAGAAAACTACTATTCAAAAAAACCTTCAATGTTTTCCAGCTAAGAAGTGACTCTAAGCTTCATGACTCTTGGTACTTAGTGTCAGAGAATTTATTCCTGATTTCATTTATCTGCATTTTTTAGAATGTTATTTTTTTTTAATTGTTTTAAGCACCTGCCACAGAGAGAGCATGAATTGGATACTGAGCTCTCCAGGAGCAGCCTTTCCAGAAGCACAGAAAAACCCAGCAGCAGGAGAAAGCAGACCTGGACACCAACACCATTTTACAGCAAAATGAGCTGATATTCCATTTAAACTAAAACATTTTTCATTATAAAACCAACAGTTTCTAAAAAATTCAAAGGAACAATCTAAGAACACAGTAAACCCAACCTTCCCTTCCTTCCTCACACTGTACCCCCTTTTGAACTTTTGAGGTAACATTTTTATTTACTTTATAATCATAGGCTTGATGCTCCATTCAATAAAGGGATCTACAGTTTTAAGAAAGTTATTTTCACTTTACCCGAAAGGCAGAGATGGGGCCGGATCTCCCACCTGCTGGCTGACGCTCCAAGGCCTGCAGCAGACAGAGCTGTGCCCACCCCTGCCAGGAGCTCGGAACTCAGCCTGGTCCCCCCTGGGCGGCCTTCAATGCTGACTGACAGCTTCTGCATTATCAGGAAGCAGTGTGGCCAGAAAGCCAACCTGAGGATGTTGGCTCCCATGCAGTGATAGAACTGCTACAGCATGCCTCTTCACTCACTCTTCACTCAGACTCCCTGAAGCACCCTGAAAGTTTTTAATCTACCTGTGAGAGCAACCTGTTAATTATACCCAAGTGCAAAATGCATCACTAACTACATTTAAAAATAATTTGTGCAGGATATTGGGACTCAACCAAAGCACAGCACGTCCTTTTTTTTGTTTTGTTTCATTTTTGTTTTTGTAAAACAAGTACCTATCTGTGTTCGTTATCAGGCCAAACCAATCACGTCTATCAACTTATATAATCAAGCACTTATGATCTATACGATAGAAATGTAAACCATCTTGAGCATTATAACTCAAACAAGCAAAACAATACTCAATTTGAAGGGATTAGCATTACATAAAAAATGAACCGCAATCTTTTTGGGATTTCTTTGTGTTTTTTTTTTTAACTGAGAAAAGACGTTGAAAACTTTACAGTGAACTGGCAATGGAATTCAGGTAGTATCAACAGGCCACAGACTGGAATGGCATCTGGTGAAAGGTTAACAGTGCCTTAAAAAAACAATAATCAAACCTTTCTCAGTTGCCAACTCTGTTCTGTAGAGTATAGCAAGACATACTGAGCCTCCACTCAGAATTACCAATTTTCTTTAGTGATTCCTAAGGACTATACAAAAGATGATGTCATCTCTCTGTCCTCACTCATTCTTTCCTTCACATTCAAAAGTCAGGTTGGGATCTAGGAGTGAGTGAACTCAGTAGAAAGATTTCTACCCTCAAAAGATCATGGTCCTAGATTTGCCAAAGTATTGCGATAGAAATATATGACCCTGTTGTTTAACACAGAGCCCTGAGCACGTCTCAGAGTGACACACTGCAGGAGAGATATTCCACCCAAGTGGGGAAGAAACCTAAACAGCAGAGGTAAGTGACAAAGGGACACCGTTAGAACCCCAAGCCTCTCGGTCAGGGTCACTTCCTTTAGAGTACGGAAGAAGCTGGAGCTTCAAACTTTCCTTCCAAGAAACTTTCATGGCTGACCACTCAGAAAACCGAGAGGCCAACTGAGCAGGGAGGATCCAGTGTCTGGGCAGACACTCTCTCATCGCTACACACATTAAGATGACCTCGGTGGAGACTGATGGGCCAAGAATGTTCTCGATACAGACGTCTTCCCAAGATAGCCTCGCAAAACACCTAGATCAACAAACACCGTAATATACTGAACATTCATAATGGATCCATGGAGTGCACATACTCTAAACTGATTATGAACAAAACTCCAGGGGGTGATTATGATTAAAGTATGTATTGCCACATGATCATTGGTTAACTTAATAGCAAATCTCAGTTTTTCAAATTATATTCCTTAAGGCTTGTAAAATGAGTAATTGATTCAAAATAAACATTGCTTCCAGTGCAGCAAATTGCGTAACCTTGGAAAAAAATATGCTTTGAATTACCCAGGTTAATAAATTAGCAGGGATCCCATCTGTCTCAAGCTCAAAGAAAATCTAATTATGGAAGGGAAATAAGCATTTATATGTATTTTAGAAATAGGTCAGCATCATTACAACTTTTTGCCTTCTGCTCTTATGTTTAATGCTACCTGGCAGATTTTTTTTTAATCCAACAGATTTTTAAGGGCTGTATTTTTTTTTTTTAAACAGGTGTACTGTGCTAAAAACAAAAGCACAACACAACACAACACAACAAAAAAGGGCAGGGTAGGGGGGCTTGGTACTAAAGAAATCTACCTGGTGTTTCCAAGACTTCCGACAACTCCAATCACCCAAACCCTTCTGCCATGGTCCAGCTGAACAGTCAGCATCGACATCCACCCAGGGACCTGGGGCAGGCAAGCTCCTCCCAGTCCGCCATCTTTCACCCAGTCCCTCACTGAGCTGCACCACTGAACTTCAACCCAGTCTCCGCAGTCCTATTCTGGCTCCATGGCTCCAGGCCACCTGCACCCCTTACCTGGACATGTGTAATTCCTGTCTACCCTCCACTCAACAGGCTCTTCAAACAGGTAAGAAATCATGTCACTCACCATACAAAATGCCTCGAGCCTGTAAAACACTGAGGGCTCAGACAGCGCTTTCCACCTCCACCCAGCAAGGCTTCTCTGCGCATCCTTCATGGTAAACCCCTGACCATCGCACACAGATACAGGACCCTTCTATTCCTGTTGGTCTCAGCTTAACTGCCATCTCTTCGAAGAGAACCACAGAAACCCACTCCCCAACAAGTTAGATCCCCACTGTACTCTCATTGTTTATACGGATCTCCCAGCACAAATGCTACCTGCACTCAGCTGCTGAGTTGTTACATATAAGCACCAGAGCTTCGGGGCTTTCCCCTCAACACTACATCCCAAGCATCCATTCCAGAGACAATGTAATCAACCCTTCAATACAAGAAACAATGTGCACGGATAGTTACAACCTGCTTTCAAAGCACCAGGTGAAGATACATTCCTGGAGCAACTTGTGGATTACAATGTGTTTTACTTGGCACTTAATGAGGTATAAAAGTGGCAGTTTTAATTAGATAATATTAAGCTGAAATCATTAGGACTATCATGCACAAAAAATAAACATTTGTATAAATGTATGAGTTATACATCTCTCAAACACACTGCCCTTCTTCCTGTAGAGTTTCCGTTTGGGTGTTACAGATGCCAGCATTCTAGCATTCAACATAGAAGCTGAGCTTACTGATATTAACCTTGGCGAGTATTTCTTAAATATGACACCAAAGCAGAGGCCGCCAAGCCAAAGACGAGGGGAGCTACACCAAACCAAAAAGCTTCTGCATGGGAAATGAAACAACCAAACAAAATGGTGACATACACAACAGGCAAGGTCAGCTGCAAACCAGTAAACCAAACACCTGACAGCTACCTCCAAAACACAGAATTACTACAACCCAACCAACCACTCACCAGCCTGATTTAAAATGAACTGTTGCAGTGATGATCACGGAGTATAGGCAACGCTTAAGGATAAGTAGAAAAGTTCAAATGTTCATAATAAATATTTAATCTTTGAGGAGATGGATATATTAATACTGAACATATATGACACCATGTACAATGCTTCTTGCTATCACACTGAATCCCATTAATACATACAACTTATACTTGAGTCAAAAGTGTTTTATAAAAAAGTAAAGAATGAGCTAAGGGACTGAACTGACACTCGCCCAAAGCAGACAAAGAAATGGCCAACAGGCATGCGTAGGAAAGGTCCCAGGTACTACAGGGGAGAGGCCGCAGGTACTGTAGGGGAGAGGCCTCAGGTTTGTGTAGGGAAAAGGCCCAGGTGTATATATTTTTGGGTGCTCAGTATCAGTGATCATTATAGGAATGCAAATCCACTCACAATGATGTTTCAGCTCACATCTGTTTAAGGGCTGTTCTCAAAGCACAAATACTAAGCTAACAGATGTTGGTGAGAATGGCAGGAAAAGAAAATCCCTCTGAAATGTAACTGGGAAATCCAAACAGCATAGTTTGTCATGGAAAACAATATGGCCTGCAAATATCTGCAAACAGAGCTGTCATGCAATCCAGAACTGCTTTCTGAGTTAGCCCATGTCCAACGCACTCCAAGGAGCACCTGCGGTGCAGAAGCCAGGAGCAGAGGCAGGGAGGAGGGGAGCCCCAGGTCTCTGCCAGTGTGCAGAAAGTAGCACAGCAGGGGAGTGTCCTCCAGAGTTTCCACACAGCATGGCACCTGCAGCTTGACACACAAGGAAGAGCGACTCCTAGGAGTGACACACAGGTTCCCCGTGCTCATGGTAAAGATGGTGACAGCTGGTGCCCATCAGCTGGGTACAGCTCTTTCTGTCAATCACACTTCCAATCAAGTACTTCAGGGAACCCTTGAAGCAGAAATGCAAGCTCTGTGAATGGAACCTCATTCAGTTCACTAGAGAGAAAAGGACTCAAGACCAGACATTCCAAGCCTAAGTCTGCACTCACTGTAAGAATAATGAAGAAGGCAGATGTGCATGGGGCTCAGGGTGAGAAAAAATTATTTCATTCAGAACTCTAAATGACTGAAACTTTCATAATTCCTTAAAATACAAATATGAAAGGGTCTAAATCTTCCAACATAACCATGTGTTCTAAAAAGAATATACTTGTGTGAAAATACTTAAACTTTTTTAAGTACTAAAATGATGTTGTTTATTAGTAAGATTGCAGCTAAGAATCAGAACACAGGAAACCTAAGATGAAGTTAGATCAAGATTCTGGGCAATATTCAACAGAAACAGGTTTGTACTTTCTATGTGTATCAAGATAATTCCAGATGTTCTTAAGCTTTTCATAGTAGAAAGCGAAATAAAAGCATGCACATCACTACACAACAAATTCCACCTATTTGCATGGAAGCTAAAGAATTTTCCCTGTTCTTACAAGCAGGGCAAGAGAAAAACAGGGGAGCGTATTTAAGATTCACCCTGGTCAAAGGAACCTGCGCCGTAAGAAATGGAGACACAGATGAGGATAGGGTCAAGGTCAGGACCAAGACAGGGTCAAGCCAAGGACAAGACAGGTCAGGACAGGGCCATAGACAAGGACAAGACAGCAACAGGAATGGAGAGGCGGTGAGGAGAGGGGTTGGGGGAGCTTAGAGGGAGTGTGGAGAGTTCAGGTGCCGAAACCTGGGTCATCTTCTGCTGCCCTCTCAGGTACATTAGCAGTGAGCTGGATCAGAAGTGCAGCACCTGGACTTAAATCAGTGCCCATATGAGATGCTGGTCGTACAAAGCAGATAGCACCTAGCTTCATCTATGTTTCCCAAAGTTACTTAAGCATTAATTATTATAATTTCAGAAAGAACATTTCAAAAAAGTCTGGGAAGCACTTTTTAAATCACGTACAGACTTACCCTGCAGCAGTTCAACTCCTCAGCTGTGAGAATGATTGTTCCACATTTCTTCCCTGGAATTCCACTAAACCAACAGAAATACATCTATTAACACACGTGCACATCAATATGACTTAACAGAAATCAATCACACCCTAGACATCACACATCTATTTTCATACACATTATTTTTAAGCAAACAGACTGCTAAATAGTGAGCTCTTCATTAGAAGGCAGACCCGGATGCCACTATCCACATATCCATCTGTCCAAGGACCTTCATGTGTTCATAATGTCAAATACCCAAAAGAATGTAAGAAAACACAATAGAACCTGTTTGGTTTTTGACATTTTAGAAAATCATCTTACTTATTTGAAATGCAGAATGAAAAAGAAAAGACCTTAAGTGCTACTTCACTTCCCAATGGCTACAATGGGGCAGGATGAGGCAGAAGCTCCCAGCCCAGCGCTCTGTCTGGGTCTTATGTGTGCGTAGGAGGCCCTCCTCTGGAGTCGTCATCTATGGATGTCCACAGTGCCTTGACCAAGAACTCCCATGGGAGCTGAACAGCTGGGGCTGGGATGGACGCTCCGATACAGAATGTCGGCACTGCAAGCAACACTGACTCACAGCACGACAATGCCAGTCCTAAAGATTTTTAAGTTTTTAAAGCTAACCCAAGACCCTGCTTCTCTCTCTATTTTTTTCTTCCCTTGAAGGTCATTACTTATTTGTATCTTGATTGTTCATCTGTACTTTTTTTTGCTATACACTGTATAGATACATCGTACTCGGCTGTCTAATACAATGTATCTAATACAATGTATCTACATTGTATTAGACACATTAACACAACGCATTAGATAAATTGTAGTTAGCTAACCGTTCCCTACCTTTACATCCACAGCCCTGAGGAAGCATAACTGTCCCAGGAAGATCACATCCCAGTAATTTCACAGGAAGAGCCACCTGCACCAGTGCACAGAGACCAGCACTCGGCATTCCTAAATAGCTGAAAGCCTCGTTTTCATCCTATCTGTATTCAAGTTGATCCTAAGTTCTGTAAGGGCAAACTTCATAATATATAGCTCTCATAAGCTGACAGTTAAGTACCACACACAGCAGGTGCTCAACTGAAGTATATGTGTGATGCATAATCAAAACAAAGCCAAAGTAACTCTCATTTTCTCTCGATCTTGTATCCTGACACCTGCAGCTGACCACAACAGCAACCTTCCCTAGAAGTATGCAGAATGTGTGCACCATTCCCTGCTGGACACAACAGAACAGACACATCTACGACACTCCTCCACACACCAATGATAAATACTGTCAAGACAGTCTTTCTGTGGTATCACAAAGCACAGCTCAAGCCTCCCCTGAGTCCTGGGAACCATCAACAACAGTCCGTAGATTGACAGCCCCATGAGGGTTTCAGTATGCAGGAGTATAACTCACCAGTGTAACTGAACTGCAATAACACGTCACAACATCTGGGGTGAATACCCAGCACCTCCCATCCCTCGTGTAGATGGCCTCAAGTCCTCAGATCGTGATGGGAACAAGGTGAGAGAAAGACAAACCAAACCATCCCAAGTCGTGAATGGATCAATTTACATCATTCCACAGCTGCTTTGTCCTAACTCTCCCTATCCTAGAATCCTCTAGAAGGTGCCAATCAAGCTCACAGAACAGCACCACCTTGCAACTTGTTCAGCACACCATGCCTTCCAGTATCTGGATTCCACCTGTCCCAACTCCCAACAAGGACAATTGGGCATGTCAGGAGCTTCCGCTTTCTATAGCTCCTTATGACTAAGAGCTCAATGAATGTAACTCATGTTGCCAGCATACTCTACAGTTTGAATGTGTCCCCACACATTCAAGTATTGGAACCTCATCTTGATGCAGCAGAGTTGATATCTCTCTTTCTGTTTCTCTCTCTCCTATCTGTAAATATACCTTTCACACAAAAATAAATGTAAAAGCAAAGAACAGAGAGCTGAACCGGGAAAGAAAACTCAAATGAAAATCAACATACTTACTATAAGAGCAGACAGATTAAAAGTGGAAAGCATTACTACAGCTACTGCAAAATGGCGAAAGTTGCACTCAATAGAGCAGATTTAATAATTTCATATTATGGCTCCAACATACAACAGGCAGAAACTGACAATACAGAATTAATCACACCACTATGGTGAGTAATTTCATCCCAGCAAAGTCCTTCAGCAGCTGATTCAGGTTAACGTCACCAGGGCGACATCACGGTGTTAAGTATCCTGTCCCTCTGACATGGTAACATGCAGAGGGACACCCCTGTGGCCTTCTCCTGCAAACTAAGGAACTGTTACAGACCAAAGAACAGAAAAACGAAATGGAATCAAATAGCTTGAAATGAAAATGAAATGGAAACACATGAAGTGGCCAACTCAGACAGACAGACGGGACACGTGAAGGTTCAACAGGACAAGCAGCTGGACTCCTTCTGCCGGCGGACCGTGGGGTGCGGGGGTGTCTTTCCTCAAATTCTGACCTGGAGCAAATCAGGGTATCTTCTCACATGTGCTGGCACAAACAATAGGCTTCCTAATACACATGGTTACACAATCCAAGTGACAACTGCTTGGACCCAAACTGTAGCTGGTCCACTACTGTTACCTGACTTGTACTAGCTGCCTCTCTGGCATTGCTCAGAAGTGCACGCCATCACCCAGGTGTATGTGGGCATTTCTTTGACAGCCCCCTTTGTCATCCCACTTCCACGAAAGCCTTTGCTTACAACCACTCATCATTTTTGCCTTTTTCTAGCTTTTTCTACATAGAGGAGTGGGTTCCCTTAAAGGTCTCTACTATACAAACAATGAAAAAAATGCAAACAGCTTGGAGTTCATTCATAATAATATATCCATGTTGGCCTTCTAGCTGTGACAAACGCTGGCTTCAGATCAGCTCAGCTCTGGCCATAGTGGCCACTTGGGGAGTGAATCAGAGAGGGACGATCTTCCTCTCTGTCTCTTCTCTCTGTATATCTGGCTTTCCAATAAAAATAAATAAATCTTTAATAAAAAATTGAATGTTCATCTACCATATGTTCCAGTAACCTTTGCAAATACATACAAAATACTGAGAAGCATGATCTTGAAGTCACATTCCAAAACCCAGGTTCATGGTAAGACCACTCCCAATTGTCAAGAGGGGAAAGTAAGAAATGCCCACTAACAGTGGCTAAACTGTATGCCCTATAATGCTACAAAACACAATGCAATCTTAAAAACAAAAAAATCTGTCACACACCACAACAGGAAAGAACCTCAACTGAACTCATTATAAAAAGACAAATAGTGGGATCAGTATTATGGTGTAAAAGCTGTAAAGTTACTGCTGGAATGCCAGCAGCCATATGGCATCCCAGTTGTTCCAGCTGCTCCACTTCTGATCCAACTCCTTGCTCACACCTGGGAAAAGCAATGGAAGATGGTCCAACTCCTTGGGCCCCTGAAGCGACGTGGAGAGCCAGGATTCAGTTCCTGGTTTCTATCTGGCCAAGTCTTGAGCAATCAAGGGGGTAAACCAGCAGATTCCTGATCCCTCTGTGCCCACAACCCTGTCAAATCAACAAGTGACTTTGAAATGAACAAATCTTAAAAAAACAAAAAGACAAAAACACGTGTAACTCCATGCAACTGAAGTGTCTAAAGTGATCAAGTTTATAGAAAGAGAAAGGGTTAAAGTGGTCATCAGCAGTTACAAGAAAGAACAAGTATAAAGTTGCTTAGCTGCCCAAAAGTGTTCAACTTGCAAGTTAACAGTTCTAGATATCTATTTCACAGCAATGTGAATATTTTTAAGATGACTAAAATACACATCTAAATATCTGCAAATGTCTATAAAAATAGGAAGGACAAATGGAATCAATCGAAGCCATTTTACTGAGAACACAATAAGACTGCAAAAATTTTAAATCTTGAACTTTTAAGCAGGAGGCAAAAATATCTTCAGAAAAACAACTGACTTCCGGCTACTGAGTTTTCTTGTCATAAAAGTGCACATCGACAAAAAAAAAACTGAAGAATCTGATCATTAAAAGTGAGAATTTGCATTATCAAAACACAAAAGGAGAAAATGAAGAAGTTAAACACTGGGAGTGACAGAGAGGGAGGTCGTGACACAGGATATTAAGAGACCACAGAGGCAGAATGAGAATTACCAAAATGTCCAAAATTAAGTGATGAGAACCATTTGCAGAATAAGGTTTTCTGTTGAGAGATCTAATTACAAGGGCATGATATGATTTCCAAAGACAAAAAAGAAAAAAAAAGATTCATGCAAACACCATTTTTCAAAGCTAATGACTCATTTCACTTAAACCTGTTACACTTATGTTTCTGTGCAGTGTGTTATCTCTAAATTGTCACCAAATGTCATGTCTATGATTTTAACCCACCAGGACTAAAAGATGTTCACCACTAAACCATCCTATATGTCAAAAATCAGAAATTGCAACTTTTGTTTACAATTTGACACTGTGTTCACTAAGAAACCCATCTGCCACCCTGTAACTTTCAGCAGTACAATGAAATTAAACATGATCTTGTTTTATGGTTAGAAAGTAAATGTTGATATTAAAAAGAAAGCAAGATGCTGATGAGCAGTACCATCAGTACCTACCTAACAGCAAAGGAAACAGAGTGAGTCGTCCGTAACGCCAGAGCACTGTGACCTCCCCCAGAAGCACAGGCTGTGCAGGACAGCGTGACGCTCCCTCCCGAGTGCCACACACTGCAAACACATCTCAACAAACTATCTCACTGCATCCTGATAAGCAAGGTCATCTACGAAAACATCTGTAATATGGTAAGGCACAAGTATGAGCAGGAGAGAATAAACTAAAAATTCTGCAGTGGGTGCTGGTAAGCAAATGCTAAATTAAAATGTGCCAGAGAAATTTACGAATGTGACTGTTTTGCTGGAAAAATCAGTTAACATTTATTAAATTGTTAACAATTACAAGGCACACAGAGTACCTAAGGTGCAGGGGTCCTCGGGGTTTCTTTGGAAATTTTCACCCCCACTGCTAGCTG